CTATCAGTCAGTGAAATCTGAAGCGTGATCTAGACGAAAAAAAACCCAACCCAACACAAAACAAAACAGACGCCGCGGGCTAAACTTAGTTCTTAGATCTAATCTTCAAACCGAGGAGGCACAAAACACGAGCGTGTGTGATGGGGAGGGCGGTGGCTGGTTTTTGATCAATGATCGGGCGGGGCAGACTGCTTTATTGATTGCTGCTGGCTGGGTCTGATCAGCTCTCGAATTTGGTGGAAAAATCTGATCGCTGTGCGTGTTTTTTTGTTTGTGTGTGTGTGTGTGTCGTGTGTGTGTGTGTGTGTGTGTGTGTGTGTGTGTGTGTGTGTGTGTGTGTGTGTGTCTTTGTGTGTGCCCGTTTGTGTGTGTGTGTGTTTGTATCTGTTTATTTGTCAATTTATCTGCCTGTGCATCTTCCTATACTATTGATCCGTGGCTTGGCGAGATGCACACACGTATTGATTGTTGTTGGATAGAGGTCTACATAGCGACACATAATTGTCTGTCTATCCGTGTGTCTGTCTGTATGTGTGTCTGTATGTCTGTCTGTCTGTCTGTCTGTCTGAGTGTATATCTGTCTGTCTTTTAATGGTCAGGCTCTTAATCTTGTCCTCAAATGGGGGTGGGCTCTTCATCTTGCCCTCGAAGGGCGTGAGTTCAAATCTCAAGTGGGGAAGGTATTGATGCGTCACACTCAGCCTGGTTCGAAACTGTCAGGCAGGATCGATCCGCTCGGCCTCGTGAGAAATCTAAATTTTGTCGATTGGAGAGTAAGACTTTTGAAACTAGTTTTAACAAACTTGCTGCCAGTCTGTCTGGCACCGTAAGCTTTAACTCAACGACTCAACCCACTAGGCAAAGATGTTTTTTTATCGGAGAGATAAAATAATCTCGTTAGGAGTTTTGTCCCGACCAAACGAAAACCGAAAAGGCACAGACTCAAGTCATTCAACTTATCACTTCAAAAAAAAAAAAAAAAAAAGAAGAAGAAAAAGAAAAAAAATACATGTACTAATAGTAAAGTTCCACAGTTGGGTTACTCTATGTGAAAGCACTACGAAGATAAATGCTTGGTCCTACAAAAAAAATTAATTAATGGTGAAATGGTATAGGTTTTAACGGCCCTATCACACTGTTTGGTTATTTAAGAGGCGGTGCCTGCATGGTGTTGGGCTCAAAGACTTACACATTTATTAAGGTCATGCCATGACTGTGTTCAGAATGTCTGCTTTTTCTCGTGGTTACTAGAAAGAGAAACTTTGAAATATATCTAGTTTTTGGCGTCAGAACTCCGAACTCCTTTTGTCCTACCTATGCACCATGTACGCTCGCTAGCATTCTCGTGAACACATACACACGCACGCGCGCACACACACACACACACACACACACACACACACAT